AGGTCGCAAATTCACTGGGGAAAATCAATGAGATAGCCTATGCAAGAGGCAACAACTTCATCCAGGGATAACCAGAGAGAAACAGTCAAACAAGACTCTACCCAATGAGAAAGTAACTCGATTGGGGAATTTATCCTATCCAGAAATGGACAAGGTAAGCTGAATCAAAAATCATCCACGAGGATTAGCTCAGTTGGGGAATTAGAAGGGAGGCGCACTTTATGCTTAAGTTGACACCCTATTTGGAAAGATCAAATACGTTATTTGAAAAGACACAACCAAGATGTACGAATTTAATGACATTAACAAATACAACTGTGTGTGCATGATGCGAGTGTGAATGAATAAATGAATGTCATGTATATGCTGACAAAACAGACAGGGGAGACGGACAGAAGATGATGAAACATCACAGTACAACCCGACGCTCGGCTAATCTCAAAAGGAGGGGAACATCACTGGAGATAGAAGACAAAAGCCAACAATGCTGTAAAATCCTTCTACAAGGCTTAAAACTCTTGGAGGAGAAGATACTTCAGGTAGAAAACCCAAAAGTCCGGTCTTCTACTGTCGACAACCCAATGAAAGGATAACAACACGAACAAAGCTTCAGCTGGAAAGAGTCATGCTTAGCTGGAGATACTGGGAACACCACCCTCCGATAAAGTGTGCGATACATAACACACATTCTGACAAGTCTAGATTGCCCCTGGGACCAAATTGGATGCCCCAAATTACTGCTGACGAGTTGCATGATGCACGACGATTCTTGCGAATAACTTCACTTCTAAAATGCCCCAAGCTAAAAGGTTGATGGCGAGAAAAACGTCTAACGAGGGTTTTATAAAAGACCTGGCATTCACCATGCTCTGGTGTCTTCAAACTCTTAGAGGAATTTATCAAATCTTGACGTGATTGCCCCGGATTGACTGTAGTTGGCATAACAAAGTCTTCGAAATTTTGCCCCAAACGAGCAAACAAGTTGGGAAAAGCAATAACTGGGAGAAGCAACCTGTCCATGCTTAAGGTCTTCAACTGACATGCCCCTGGATATGATTCTCTCGACATGATCCGCCAATTACTCAACAAAGTTTCAAGCCTCAAAAGAGTAAACTCATCACTGGTGTTTATGTGAGCTTCCTTGACATAAAACGCATGTTTTGCAGTTAGAAAGAGTTTACAATGAGAATGAAAACTCTAATGCAACAGTTATGTAAGTCTTGAAGATTTTGAAAAGATATCGCACAAGTTGTGCGAGTTAGAGCATCATTTATTTCGTATAGGAAAAACATATGATACCAACATAACTATTTGAAACTCATGGGAGTCAGGAACACTATCTCATTGAAGTACGCTTTCAAAATGACCTTGCTTCAATTAGGACTTTTGAAGGTTGTAATGTGGTCTGGTTTATGGGTTTTTTAGAAAAAGGTTTTAAGGCTCGAAATATTTGGTGCCCACCCATTCTTCTTGATGTTCTCCAACCCTATGCTTGGTTAATTCAAACTGAGTGTTCATCTATAAAGAGGATTTTGTGACGGTAACATCTTTCTTACGAATTTTGAACACTCAATCAAATTACCAGAAAGCTACCCTGCCCCAGGTTAAAATTCAAGGTTTTTTCGTATAGAAAAGAAACTTCTGCTTCAAAGGCTCAAAAGGGGTTAGCGAAGGATTATCTTCCTTATATCTCCGGTGTTTAGGGATTTGAAACAATGCCTGTACATCATCAACAAGATTTTATTCAAAAGCATGCAACCAAAGATTTTGTGTTCTTTAGATCATCATCCCCCCTTTCAATCTCTGCCTAGGCAAGAGAATGGGCAATAAGTTGGTATCATAATGTCAAAAGAAATTTGAAATTCGAGAACAAATATGAGTGAAACGAATGAACTTCTTCAAGACAAACATACTCATTGTATTAAAATGATCATTCAGATGCAAATAAGTTCTTACATGCAAACAATGTTTTGATAAATAAGAAAAGCTACAAAAGCAGAAACAAGTTAATAATCTGGGAAGGCTTTCCACTTGAACTTACGAAAACAATCTTCAAAAATTCAAAGTCACCCTCAGTCGTGTTTACTCTTCGGTGCCTGTTTGATTTGAACTTCAAAACCAACGTCCTTGAATGACAAGATACCACTTCGGACCAACTTCTGAACCTCAATCTTCAAAGCAAAGCAACCCTCCAAGTCATGCCCACGAGCACCTTGATGAAAAGTGCAAGCCAAATCAGCTTTGTAGTTCCAATGTATCTTCTTAGGGACCTTCGGTGGAGGTCAGGTCTGAACCAAATTCCTCTGCATCAGGATAGGGAACAACTCTGTATAGGTGATCGGAATTGAATCAAACTGGGTTTTCCTCTGATTAGGAACTTGCTGATTCTGTTGGTGAACATGATGATTCTGATGATGATTATCTCTTCCTCTAGTTCTCCTCTTGGAAAAGTCATTATCAAACTTCTTCACACCATTAACTGAGCTACCCACTTCATATGAACATCCTTTTCCGACATCTTCTTCTAGACGCACTCCCACATTCACCTTGTCAGGAAAGTCATCAGGTGCATTAACCGTCACCTTTTCATGAGAAAAAGATTTTAGAGTCTCCGTGAAGACTTTTATCCTTGCTTCCTCCCTCCTAGAAGGATTGACTTGGGCGGAGATCAGAATTTCAACCAAACCAGTTAAGTGATCCAAACCAGCTTTCAAAATAGTCACCTCTCTGCGGAGTTCAGAAACCTCTTGCTTGATATCCTCCATTATTCTCTTAGCGCGAGTGTTGTACTAGTGAGACCAAGGAAAAAAATAAGACTCGGAAAAAGACCTTTGAAAGTGAGACAAAGAAAATGTAGAATGATGTATGATATGCAAAAGAGAGTTTTATTTGACTTTCAAGGAACTCAAGATATCAAGTTATAAACATCCAAGTATGAAGATAACAGGTGAATTTTAAATTGGCTCCAAACATTGATCAAGTTATCGTCAAGATCAATCATCCATTTTGGTGGATTAGGGTTTTCGCCCTATCGACACCCAAGATCCATTGAGTTTGACGAAACTAGTGATGTTTACAAAGAAAGACCTCCAAACTCTTTCAAAGTCAAGCGAAAAGAGTTTTATGGATGCATGAATGCATGGCTATGCGACAACCACAAGCAAGGTCACAAATAAAGTGGAAAGGTTCAACGTCACGAGCATGGAGTCAAAGGTAAAAACATCCCCAAGGTATGTACTAAGGGTTTAATCACACCTGTAGAACAAGGTTCTAAGAGTTCCCAGAGTCTACATTCCTCCTTCGGATATTGCCAACGTCTTGATTACTCGATAATTAGCAATATTCTCAAGAGAAACTCGTCCGAGCGTAGCATCACGTAACAACTACTTCCGAATTACTCCGTTATAGTCTCCGCGCTACACCTAAAAAGGCCAAGATGGGTTAGGGTTCTACGGTCCTCAACTTCTCGGGCACCTAGGTCGAAAATAATAACGTCTTCCCGATTACTCGGTAAACAAATATTAAGTTCAAGAGGACCTTCCATTGAGTGGGGGATCTCATGCCTCCTTCTTCGGGATTACTCCCTCAAAGTTAACATGACTATACCGCCCGTCCTATTCCTTAAGTGTTACTTAATCCGGGTATAGGATTCGTCCTTTGCAAAAAAGCCCAAACACCCAAAATTTAAACACGTAATCAAGCAAATCAAATAATAGTAAAACAGATAAGCCAAGTTAGGCTTAACCCACTTAGGGATGGACCAGCAAGAGGTCAATCTTTCCCCAGCAGAGTCGCCAATTCTGTAGCGATAAAAATGTAGCGGGGTAAATCGGAGATCGAATTATTGATTAATTCGTCTCACAAAAGCAAGAGTCGCCACCGCGCTTTATTGTTTCCAAAGGAAAAGGGAAGAGAGCGAAATAAAACCCTAAATATGCAATGTAAATAATACTTTTAAAAGTAATAAGAATACAAGGCGTTTTTGAAAAAGAGATCGAGAGTTCGGGGGTTGGTTATACAATGGGAAGGTACTAGCACCCACTGTATCTATAGTACTCTATAGGAACCTTTTGAAATATCTGTTTTATTTAAAATTGATCGCTTGATTGAAAATAAATTATTTGGCCGAAAAAGGGATACGGACGGGTTTTTGAAGATGCGACGACCTAATGTCGAAGTTTTGGCTTAAAAGGGATAAGTCTTGAAAAGGTTGAAATTTTGAAGAAAGGTGAATATTTGAGGAAAATTAACCTAAGTTTTTAATGGATGAGAGTATTCGCTCGATCGTTTTTGAGGACATGAAGTCAACAAAAATTAGACTATTCCCTTTGGATTGGTGCAAACATGATAATTAAGTACGATGAAATAATTGACAGAAAATGATACACAACAATTAAATGTGGACATGCATTTTTATATGATTTTTGTTTAATAGGCGAAAAGAAAAAGTTTAATTGGTTTTCACTTTTTTACACATTTTTAATAGGGAGAAAACATGGGAATTAATAGAAATGTTTTTTAGGTTTTTAAGCTTTTAAGTTCTATTTTTTATGTCTTTTTTTATATAAATAAAAAGTATTACTTTTAAGAATTCTTTGAATAAAATTAAAACTTAATGCTATTAACCTAAGTCTAATTAAAAATAATACTAAGATTACTAAATTAAATCCTAAGAGTTTAAATTAATAAAATTAGTCAATGATTAAAAAAAAATGTTTTAAGTTACATCTCTTATTTTGATTTACTAAATTAAAACTTAAACTAATAAGATTTGGACAAAATATTAAAAATTATTTAATTAAAACTATATGTTATTTCTAAGAAACTAATTAGTCTAGATTAATTAAGTTAAGAAAAGAGTAGAATTTTAACTAAAAAACCAAATAAGATGGGGGTGGATTAGCAAAGAGAATGGGCTTAAGTGTAAAAGAAAATGGGCTTAGTTGAGGCAAATGGAGCGGTTGGGAGGACCCGGACAGAATGCTTGTGACGAAAAAAACCTAAGGAAACGTTGTGCCATGGCCGCCGCCGCTGGACCCCTTTTCTTCCTCCTTGTTCCGGTCTCCTCCACGATCCACCTCGCGTTCTACAGTTCTGGCCAGTTCAACGGCGGTTCCAACGTAAGTATGCGGCGTTAACTTAAGAGATAGGTCTTTGCATTTAGGAATATTTAAGCCTTCAATGAAGTCTCCTGAGCTTTCTTTGGTAATTGCTTTCCCTCTAGTCAGCTCTTTTAACTTCTCATAAGGCTCGGGAACATTGTATCTTCGCATAACCGTTTGTATTGGTTCAGCAAGTACCTCCCAGCACTGGTTCAAAACTTCGCTCAAGCGAGCTTCGTTGACCTGAAGCTTCCCAATTCCTTGAAGTGTGCTTTAATGCAAGAAGGGAATGACAAAAATTGACACCCATGGTCCTTAAGACAGTTGAATCAGTCAAATCCCTCTGCCAACGTGAAATCGGCAACTTCAAGCTTAGATGAGAAAAACCTCCATTAGCCACGCCTAAATTGCTTTCGCTGTTCTCAAAATCAATGGGATTCGCTTTGTGAGGCATAGTAGTGGTTGCGGTTAAAGGATGGGAGATTGGTGCTGGAAGGAGGAACGATGAAGATTGCTAGCGTGGTTAGTGGATTTCGAAGCGTGATTAGGAGGAAGCAAGTTGGTTCTGTTCATTGCAGGAGTCATCCTCAATTGGCCAGAAAGTTATCTGCTGTTGATCTCGTTGGAATCGGTAATTCTTCATTTTTCAATTCCAAGTTATACCGATTATGGTGCTAATTAACGATAGTTAGGTCTTAGAATTATAAATATGTAGGTGATTGATGATTCTTGAAAATCAGGTGTTGGAGCTACAATAGGAGCTGGAATGGAGACGTTTTCCGGTAACGCGGTGGAGAGGTTGATGAGTTTGTCGTGGAGGCAGAAAGGGTTACGGGGAGGTTTCAACGGTAAGCTTTTGATTTCTTTTCTGTATTGACAAATCATTTGTTCTTGATTCTCTACCTTGTCATTCGCTTCCTCTAAGGCCAATACCAAACCTCTATTCCCATCTTCCATCTGTTTAATCTTTTCATCGCAATCAACTCGGATTTTATCATTTGCACCTCTGAGATGTTTGATAATAGACTCTTGTTCTTTCAACTTTCCTTTGAGACCTTCATTCACATTCTTCGCCTCGGTTAGTTCATCCGCCTTTTGAAGAAGTTCATGATCAAGCTTCTCAGATTTCAACTTTGCCTCTTGCGTTTGATTAACCTGCGCATTAAGAGATCTCTTTAAATTCTCAACTGAATCTGATTTGCTTCTTAATTCTGCCTTGAGTTTATCGATTTCAGATTTCGCTTCCTCGAGCTCTTCATAAACCTTTTCCATTCCTTTTCACATATAACAAATTCAACAGAATTTTCCCCGAACAGTTGAAGAGAACAAAGCAAAGCAAGTAGTGTTGTCGTGTTGCTGTGATTCAGTGGCTGAAGATGAAGAAACGTGAATTGGGAGAGAAGGAGCAGATTTGTGAACTTGTCTATTATTTCAAATTGGCTTTAAATAATCAGTGCTTATGATCGTGCCGGTTTTGCAATATTATGAATCTTGAATTTTATCAATCAAATTATTGTCGGTGTTAAATAGGGATTAATGTGTTGATGATTCGCAAAGATATTAAATGGCCATTTTCATGATTTCAGGAAATTAAAGAGAGGATTATTAAGTGAGACAAAGGCAACGCAACGGTATAAAGGTTTATGCGAAAAGCTGAAGAAAACTCACATGGTCGGAGCTAGTCCGACGGTACGATTTCGGCGAAATCAGGTAAGCTCCGAAGACTCCTCGCTCCTTGCTTTCTGCCACTAATTCTTCTCTTCTTCTCCGTCTCAAAAAAACTGGTTGGAAATATTGAATAAAATGGTTTTTTTGGTGATTTTGCAGGTTTAGCAATATGCCGGTTAGCCATGTGCAAGTTTAGCAATATGCTTGTTATGTTGAAATAATGGACTATATTTTTTGGTAGTTTTGTAGTGATTCTGTTTGGGAATGGAATATGGTTTTTGATAGCAGTATGCAGGTTTTTTATGGTTTTGCAAAGTGGACTATGGTCTCTATTTCTTGGTATGGCTTGTATAGTATGCAGGTTTTTTATGGTTTTGCAAAGTGGACTATGCAGTGATGGTTATGGTGTGGAAATGGAATATGTTATTTGATATTGCAGAATGTGGTTTGATATTGCAGAATGTGGTTTGATATTGCAGAATGTGGTTTAGCAATATGCAGTTTGTGAATGGTTGTTAGATTAGTATGCTTGGAAATGGTTCAGCAGTATGCAGAATGGTTATGCCTGGGAGCCAAAAAAAAGTGGTGCTTAATAGGCTTATCTCCCCCTCTATGCAAGCTAAAACTTCCCTTTTGAAGGGGTGCCCTTCCATATGACCGTTTTTTCCTGCTGGCTCAGGTTTGAATATCTTAATATATTTTTCTGATGCTTGCACCTATGCTGCTACAAGGTTGACTTTATTCCCAATTCATGCTTAAGTCAGAACCTGCAAAATTGAACCTCTTCTCTCTCTCTCCCAAGTACAGAAATGATATATATAAATGATATACTGTACATTTTTCTGAAATTGTAATGGCCAGAAAATGATGACAAAAAAAAAGGAATAGGTTGCTTGCATACATTGTTTAAAACTGCACATTGTTTGAAATTTCATATTGTTTTTTGTCTTGCATTAGCCTATATTATTCTGCAGGTTAACGTTGGCTTGTTGTGTACCTTGCATATGTTTGTTTGAAAAAAATGTATGCTGTGATTTATACTTATGCAGTTTTGACCAAAAAGTATTTATGCATATGTGAAATATGCGGTGGGCTTTTTGATAAAAATGCAAATGATTTTGAAAATGTGCTATTTTTTAATTGTGCATTCATTTAAAAATTCCTCTCTTTTTTGTGAACCGGGAGAAATCCCGTGATTTGCAAAAAAGAGTAACTGATTCCGGCCATTGCTTTTAATGATGAACATTGAATTTATTTTCTGCATTTTAATCATTTATCCGAATTCTAATTTCTTTCTTTTAATCGTTTTTTGCAGATAAAATTAGATGAGCGAACAAGAGCATTGGATTGAAGATTTAGAATTAGAATTTAGAAAAATAGCTTTTTATTTACTTTAAGCATTTATGTAATTGTCTTTATGAATATTTTGTAATAACACAACATTTAAATGACAATTGTAATAAATAGAATAAAGTGAATAAAAATTCTATTATTTCTCAATTAATTCTTTTTCTTTCCAATTATTTATTTATTGTTTATAATTCCTTAAATTATATAATGATTAAAAATCAAATCCAATCATTTAAATTTAAAATGATAAACAAATAAATAAACATCATTGATCAATTAATAACTTCAATTATTTATTTTATTATTATTTTTAATTCTTCTAAATTATAATAACTTGAAAAATAGAATTTCAGCTATTTAAATTTAGAACAATAAATAATCAAATAAACATTGCTTGATCAATTAATATACTCATTTTCAAATGTTTATTTCATTATTCATAAACCTTCAAATTATATAATAACGGAAAACAGGTTCCCATTATTTAAATTTAGGATAATGAATAATTAATAAACATTATTTGACCCATTAATAAACCTTTTCTCAAATATTCTTTTTATTATTTATAAGTCTTTAAATTACGTAATAATCGAAAATAAATTCCAATTATTTGAATTTAAGATAATAAATAATTAATGAACATTGTTTAAGTCTTGATCAGTTAATAAATTTAGCGTTCAACGAATAAACAGCTCCTGACTCGAAAAAGTTGTGAATTTTTAAACTGCTTCGAAAAATTTGATAAAATATGGTCAAAACTCTTGCAATGCGAATGATGCAGATGGAAGACGGTATCTTAGGTCAAAATTTGGGGTACAACAATTACATAGCCAAAAAACCCATAAAAGACGATAAATAAAGAAAATCCTAATTTAAACTATTACATACCGTAGACAGTTACATCAATATTGCAAAAAAATAATAAATGCGCGAGATGAATCGAATGCAAAATAACTAGGGTTTTGACCCTAAGCCTAATTATAATTTAAAAGAAAAATCATTTTTTGTCGTTTTTGATTATTTGAGAAAATAATGCTTAATTGAATAATAAAAAAAAACCTAATTACTAATTAATTTAAATTTAAGAAAAATAATTAAATTAACCTATTTTTGTATTTTTTATTTTATTTGAGAAAGAAATAAAAATTAAATCAAGAATCTAACCCTAGTTTTTCTAATTGATTTTAATTATATAAAAAAAGTTAGGATTACCCTAAATTAAATCAAACTAATATTAAATAAAATTTGATAAAATAAAACCTAATTCTAATTTTTTACAAACTCTTGATTTTATGATTTTGTGAAAAAAGAAATTAATTTTGTTAAAAAAAACAATTAAGCAAATTAAATTAAATAAAAGAAATAAATAGAAAAGAAAAAGAGTGGGCCTGGTTGCTTAGCAAAAAAGGGGGGTGTTGTTTGCAATTTCTTGGCCCAACAAGCTCCTGGCCCTGTTGACTTCTCCAATCCTGTGTGCGTGCTTGACTTTGGCACATGGTGGACCTTCATTGTGGGCATATGAGATCTGGCCAGGAGTGCATCATATGGTGATGTTGAGAGTACACAGAACACGCTTAAGGATGGGAAGCACCAGATTGACCTGAAACTATTAAGAAAATAATAAAATGCACACGCCTGGGATCGAACCAAGGACGTGTGCATCAAAGGCTAGCAACCTTACCAACCGCGCTAACATGTTAGTTGTAACAATAATAAAATAAATAGAATATGATACAAACAACGTACCACCCTTCTCAAAACGCGCGAAATTCAAACTGACCATTCATACACTGTCGCGGCATTGTCTTCTTCATTGATTCTGTCATTTTAGACAAAAGACTTTTATCTACGGACATCAAGCTTAGGTATAGCCCCTGTTTATTTCCAAAACCTTGTACACGCATGATAAATGAAATCCAATGGTACCAATCAACTCGTTTCAAGTCCACGAGCATCATGGCACCATTATCATTGTTCAATTTTCCTTGTACAAGAAATCCCTAAAAATGAAACACGAACCCTAGCCATGGCAGTTTGATGCATAGTTAACAAAAATGCAATTGAATACAACCTTTAGCTTGCAAACATCGCAAGGATTATAAATATGTCAATGAATCATGCTAAATATGCCAGAATCAATGTATTCCAATTCAAGAAAACATGCAAACTGTGTGACCCTTACAGAGTGATTCTGAGCGTGGGGAGGCTTGCTAACGATTGGAACACGATCCTGGGATGTCTAGCAAACGATTGGGGTGATTAGAATGGCTTAAGCTGGCCTGAAACTTGGAAATTGGTTTGAAACTTTCTCTTGAATTTTTGAAATTGGTTCTCTTCCTTTGCACGCCTCTAGCCTCTTCTTTTTGATCTGCCTTTGTTCCTTATGTATACTAGAGTGTATTAGGGTTGCAATTTTGTATCAAATCTCTTCCAATT